ACCTCACATTTCAGGAAGGGGACGTGCATATACCTGGAAAGGCCAGAAGGCTGCCCCATGGACACTCGGCTAGTGCCCCAGGCTGGAAGCCTGATGTGGAACACCCAAAGCTCCTGGGGCCTCTGAGAGTCTCCAGGTTTATAGTCAAAGATAACCTGTATCTCTACCTTTTGCAAATAAAGCAACTGAATTATCAATAATAAATGTGTGAACCAAAAATAAGTGAATATTTTAAACTATATTATAATGTAAGCTAGTGGCCTGGTGCATGAATTCTTGCATGGGTAGAGTCCCTCAGCCTAGGCAGCATTTGAGGACATGGGGGGTGGGCAGCTTGCTGGAGGGGGGGGGAAGGAACCGCGGGAGGTTGGCCCCAGCAGCAAGCTAACCAACGGCCAATTCCACCAGGAATCGGGCCCCCTCCTCCCTCCTCTCTGGGTCCGGGGTGCGGGTGAACAAGATTCAAGGCCATCAGGGCTCCAGCAGCAAGGTCTGGGTCAGTGCGCATCATAGCAACTGGGTGGTCATCCAGTCATTCCGGTTGTTTGGTCATAACAGTCACTTAGGCTTTTATGTAGATAGATAGCAGACCTATGAAATAAGAAAACTGAAAACTGTGAATAAATATATTGGAAAAAGGAAAAGCCTTAAATATTCAATGTCCTAAGCTATTATATCAAGAATTAAAGGCCTGTAGTGGGGGCTGGGTGGAGGGGGAAGTGGAGGGAAATAACAGACATCTGTAATATTGTCAACAATAAAAATAAACCAAAAAAAACTTAGAAAAAAAAGATTGCATTGAATCCTAGATGGCTGGATATGCAAGAGCCTCTCTAATGGGACTGGGCCCAGAGGGTCATGTCATGTCAAGGGGAGGTGGGTGCCCTGGGTGGGCAACCAGGGCCCTCAGGTGATTTTGGTCTGCCCTGCCCTCTGTGACCTGTTTACCTACAATTCTTAGTCTCCCACCCCCACGACTAAACTGTGGGGATGTGCCCCCCTCCACCCGGTTCCTGCCCCACCCCAGGCCTTTTGTGAAGGTCTGACCATTCAACCATACAGGATGTGGTTCTGCAACAATTTACATTTAATTGTGCGTGTTACTGTCCTTGAAGAAGAACAGTCCCATCCGGATGGGTGTGGTTGCCTTGCTCCTGGTGATGCTCGGGGTGCTGCTATTTCTGGCTCGAAACAGCCAGAGAAGGACCCACAATGTTGCCAGGGTGTGAACAGAGAGGGAACAATGCACAGTTCAGAGAGGGGTCACCTTGGAACCCATCTAAATGTCTCAGGATGTGGTGGAAGAGACTCAGAGGAAGACAGGAAGTATTGTGGGGTCCGGAGTGGGTGTGAGGGCCCCTGAGTTTGTAGAACTACCTGCTGATTTTTCTAGTGGAATCAACATGGTTTGGGTGCACAAAAATGTCTGTGGGCTCCCTGTACAAGCTTCTTCCTCCGTTAAATGTGTATTTTCTCTCTGTGTCTTGGTTGACTTTCTGTGATGACCTTCCTCTTCTTTCCTCACCCCTGTGACTTGAGGGTCCATCCCACATGGCAGGTGTGGGTCCTCACATCTAATACCACATGCTCTCCTTCACTGTTATTTCTGCTTAGAAAATTACATTTATTGTGGTGAACCTTGTTTAATAAATTGCACAAGTTTTGAATGTACAATTCTATAGTACAACATCTATATATTTTTTATGGGTTACCATGTTATTTACTTTTTATCACCACATGATCAGATGGGCGTTGTTGAGTCTTCTCTTCAGTTCACAGGACTTCACCTGAATTCAGTAACTAAATAACTCGGGCAGTGTGGCTCAGTGGTTGAGTGTCATCCTATGAACCAGGAGGTGATGGTTCAATTCTGGTCAGGGCACATGCCTGACTTGTGGGCTTAATTCCTAGTAGGAGGTGTGCACGAGGCAGCTGATCAATGATTCTCTCTCATCATTGATATTTCTATCTCTCTCCCTCTTCCTTCCTCTCTGAAATTAATAAAAATATATTTAAAGAAATTAACTAAGTGGGCAGAATTAGATACAAACCTAGGAAAGAGAAATTTAAAATGATGCCTCACATCCACTCTGGACCCCACAATACTTCCTGTCTTCCTCAGATGACACAGGATATTGGGGTTTAATCATTGTTTACATTTTTTTGGTCAGAAATTGCATTTTTAAAAATAAATTTTATTGATTTTTTACAGAGAGGAAGAGAGAGTGATAGAGAGCTAGAAACATCAATGGGAGAGAAACATCGATCAGCTGCCTCCTGCATACCTCCCACTGGGGATGTGCCTGCAACCAAGGTACATGCCCTTGACCAGAATCGAAACTGAGAACCTTCAGTCTGCAGGCCAACGCTCTATCCACTGAGCCAAACGGTTAGGGCAGAAACATTGCATATTTGTCATTCACTTGTAATACATGGTGCACATGATCTTCATAAACAACCTCACCAGCGCAGTCCATTTCTATATTTCCCTCTTGTCTTGATGACATACCCAATCCCCTTGCATGGTGGACAGTGCCAGTGTGATCTGTTTCCACCTCGCTTTCTCTCATCTTCCCCCTTCAGAGAGTCCCTATGTCTGTTATGGTATCTGGATGTTTTTTTCTTTGTAGAATGTTCCCCCTGTCCCTTAGGATTTCACCTCCTCAAATAGCCACCGTTCCCTCACCACAGTCTAGTCCTGGGCCCAGTTGTTCTAATATTTTTTCTCTCCTCTCCTTTGTACTTACATTAATTGCAACATGAACCTTTGAATGCTCAAAGGCTGCTAATCTGAGGTTTCCAAATGCAGGAAATGAGTCTTTGTCAATTAGGTATTTCTGGTGACTGGTATAAATACTGGTAGAAGGTGATGAGTAAATCTTTGCATATGGCCTTGCTAAAGGCAGAAATTAAATTTTTAAAAAATATTTATTAATTAATTATCTTCATTGTTGAGAGCATTACAGATGTCCCCCACTTTACTCCCAATTGCCCCCCCCCCTCCACCTAGTTCCTGCCCCACCCCAGGCCTTTTGTGGAGGTCTGACCATTCACCCATGCAGGATGTGGTTCTGCAACAACTTACATTTAATTGTGGGTGTTACTGTCCTTGAAGAAGAACAACCCCTAAGCCTAAGCCTAACCCTAACCCTGTCATAAATCATATGTACAGCATAGACTCATGTTTATATTTCCCTTTTATATAAAATTCAAGGAACATAGGATAAGCTACATATATGCATGCCCAGCAGAAGGTGGGGGGTGGAGCTGTCCACATCCCGGTGCTGAATTCGCTTCCACCCTCCCAGGATTAACATACAAAGTGAGAGATAATTAGGGGAGAGGGTGGTGGTCCATGGTCTTAAGGAAAACCTGATAGATAGGCATGCATGTTGCTGGTCAAGATTAGAGCTGTTGTGAATCAGCACAACCTCCTGAAACCAGGAGAACTGTCCTGACTTGCGGACTCTCTGACGACAACTTTGAATTTATTTTGAGGTGTCGGGTTGGTGCTGCTCATCCATCAGGAAAAGTGCTAAATGACCCGTGGAAGGTGCTATAGCAGAGTTCTTTTTAAAAAATATATTTTTATTGATTTCAGAGAGGAAGGGGCCGGGAGAGAGAGATAGAAATATCAATGATGAGAGAGAATCATTGATTGGTTGCCTCCTGCATGCCCCATACTGGGGATTAAGCCTGCATCCTGGGCATGTGCCCTTGACCAGAATCAAACCCGGGACCCTTCAGTCTGCAGGCTGATGATCTCTATAGCAGGGTTCTTGGCGATTTATTCTTCAGCTGCTAAAGCGAAGCTCAAGATGCAGTGTTATCTTTAAGGGGGAGGGTATGTTAAAGACAATAAAGAATGCCAATGCAACCCCTCCTCTGGTTGTCGATGGGAAAAAGATGAAAGCATTTATTCATAAAGATATGTGTGCCCATGGTTTATGGATGTCAACAACCTTCCTCCTTCCTCCTCCACCTTCACCGCATCACACAAGGAGGTGTGTGCACTTCCTGCATCCTGGACAGTGAGCCTTCTTGTCGTTGCCCGAGGAGCAAACATTCAGAAACACTGAGCGCAGTTTCGGCTCCTGTGAGATGTCTCTGTTGACCTGCACTTCCTGCGGCTGAGGACTTGGGGAACACGGAGCTTCTGTTGAACAGGAGGCAAGGGCTGAGCAAAGCGGAGAAGGTCCAGGATGTGGTGGGCAGTGTCTCCACACCACATGGGTACTGTTCACAAGGTGCCCGCCTCACAGGAAGAGGACCAGCCCTTTCACCCTAAAAATAGCAGGTGCGGAGGTTTTGACATGAACCACGTCACTGACCACACCTCACGTCTTAAAGTACCACATTTATTTTTCCTAAGCTCTACAGTCACATAAGGACTTCCACATAATTTGCTGCCATTGGAAAGTCATGTCAGTTATTCCATTTATAGCTTTCAACAGCCCCTGGCCAAGCTAATGTAGAAAAATAGTGAATAATCTGAAGCAATCTTCAGGAGAAATATGACATCTCTTTTATAGCAGCTAGTATCTATTAGGCCTCGTGCCAGTTGCATATTCTTCACTCTCCTCCCAAACAAAATGCAGAGAGGACAGTTGGATTCTGCATTTCTAGAGGAAAAGATAACCTACAAGGTCTGCTTTTTGTTATTTTAGTTGAAATCATTTATTGTTTATGAGTCAAAATCAGTGTCTTATATTTATACTAGAGGCCCAGTGCACAAAATTTGTGCATGGGGGGGGGGGGTCCCACAGCCTTGCCTGCACCTTCTCCAATCCAGGACCTCTCGGGGGATGTCCAACTGCCGGTTTAGGCCCAATCCAGCAGTCAGACATCCCTCTCACAATCTGGGGCTGCTGGCTCCTAACCACTTGCCTGCCTGCTGGTCTGATCACCCCCTAACTTCCCTCTCCTGCTGAGCTGATTGGCCCCTAACTGCCCTCCCCTGCCAGCCTTTGTTGAATCCAAGTGATATCATTATTGGGGAAATGGCACAGTTGACATCCGATGAAGACGGGAAGGGATGTGAGGTCCAGAGAGGGGCATAGGCATCATTTTGGATCTCTCTTTTCTAGGTTTGTATCTGATTTTGCCAATTTGTTTAGTTACTGAATCCAGGCAAAGTCCTCTGAACCGAAGAAAGGACTCAATAATGTTCATCTGGTCACGCGGAGATAAAAAGTAAATAACATGGTATCACGTAAAAATAGACAGATATTGTACAATAGAATTGTACACTTGAAACTTGTACAATTGCTTAAACAACGTCACCCCAGTAAGTGTAATTTTTTTTAAAAAAGTGGAGGAGAGGATGAGGTGTTAGATGTGGGGACCCACACCTGCCACGTGGGATGTTCCTTCAAATCACAGGGGTGAGGAAAGAAGTGGGGGGTCGTTACCGAAAGTCAACTAAGACATGGAGAGGAAACTGGAATCTCACATTTAATAGCGGAAAAAGCTGGTCCAGGGAGCACTTGGACATTTCCTGCACCAAACCATGTTCATTCCATTAGAAAAATCAGCAGGCAGTTCTCCCAAGGCATAGTCCCGACTTGCCTTCAGCGCCTCCTGGGGTCCTCAGATGGGCTCCAAGGCTCCCCCACTCTGAACGGTGCATTGTTCCCTCTGGGTTCACCTCCTGGCTGCATCCTGGGTCCGTCTCTGGCTGTTTCAAGCCTGAAAGAGCAGCACCCCGAGCGCCACCAGGACCAAGCCAGCCACGCCCAACTGGATGAGATTCCCCACAGTGTAGTCTTGGGGGTGGGAGGCTGGGAATTTGAAAAACAGGTCACAGAGGCCAGGACCCTGAATATCCACCCAGAGCACCCACCTCCCCTTGACAGGACATGACCCTCTAAGCCCAGCCCCATAACTAAGGGTTTCTCCTACTCACCGATCTTGGGGGCTGAGTTGTTTGGTGATGGGCGGAGGGTGTCATCCGCTCCTGAGAATCATGACATGAGGGTGTGAGTGAGGACCTGGGGAGACAGGAGCCTTCTTCCTGGGCCCTGTGCTGTCAGATGCCCCACTTCTCAGGTCATAACTTTTGCACTGTCCCTCACCCCCCAGCCCCACAGCAGGAGCAGCAGAGGTGGGAGTTGAACCAGGGCTGATCCACCCTGTTCCCTCCTCTGAGCTGAGGGACAGGACCTGGGTGCCCGGACCCTTGTCCTGCCTGTCCCTCCCTGTACAGTGTCACCGTCACTGAGACAGAGGGGACAGGCCCCATAACATCACGTCCTGGGGGCTTCCCTGTGGTGCCCCCTCTCCCAGGAGGTCAGGACCAGAACTGACAAGAAATCTAAACTCTGGACAGTGATCGCTCCTTTACACTTGGAGACACACAGGGAAAAGATGTGTCCAAATCAGAGGTAACTGAGTCCTCTGCATGACTCAGCCCCCGCCCCCCATGGACACACCCACCACCTCCCCACTCAGACCCTCACTTACCTCTCTGCAGGCCTGACACTGTGGTTGTGGGTGTCCAATTCTCAGTGGGTCCTGGGGATCAGGATGGAAAGTGAAGTGTGGGTGCTGCCATCTCCCCATGTGACCTTGGCTGCTCCTCACCTAGCCTGGGCCCCAACATCTCCCTCTGCCACAACCATCCCTCCTGTCACCTACCAGCAAACCTTTGAATCCCTGTGGTCCCACAGAATCCTCATCTGACACCCAGCAGCCCTAAGACACAAGCCTTAAATATTTGAGGGGAGATTAAACCCCCTGAGAGACTCAGAACTTCCCGGGTCTTCTGTGTTCCCTCTGAGCAGAGTTCAAGGTGACTCATCAAGCCTGGTAGGCGGGGTCTGGGGCCCCCAGTGGGTTTTAGGGTGGGGAGTTTAAACACTTCTTGGAACTAGATAGTCGTTGTCATTGAGACATTGTGTGTTTACTGTATTCTTGTGATTTTCATATTTCAAAAGGCTCAATTGTATGTTATGTGACTGTTGCTTTAATAAAAATAAATGCAAGTGCAACTCGCATGGTTCCCTACAGCTCCCTTATACCTTGGAGGTTGCCCCAATGGTGTCCAAGGAGTTTTATGGAAGCGGGACTCCCACTGGGTCAGAGGTGCCCTAAGTGCTTTAGTGCTTACAGACCAACCCACTGATGAAATTTCCACCTTCACTCCTGACTTGGGCTGAGTCTAGGATCCCGGCTGAGGCCCACCATCCCTGCATCCTTTAGTCTGCACTCATCCGCCATTCAACCAAGGATGCGCTACAGCTTCGGATTCAACTTGTAGGCTTGGGGGACACACATGTGACTTCCAAACAGCCCTTCCCAGCAAACGTCTCTCACACACATGCCTTCATCAGGTCAGAAAATGACACCAGATTTCCGGCCAACATGGCTCAGTGGTTGAGCATTGACATATGAGCCAAATGGCCATGCTTCGATTCCTGGTCAAGGGCACATGCTTGGGTTGTGGGCTCCATCCCCAATGTGTGGATTGCAGGAGGCACCCGATCAATGATTCTCTCTCATCATTGATGTTTCTATCTTCCCCTCTCCCTTTCTCTCTGAAATCAATAAAAAAAATTAAAAAAAAAAGAAAATGACACCAGATTGGGCTCCTTCATGTCTCAGACACTGCTGATCCTCATAACAACCTCAGAGGTGAGGTTTCACAATTTTGCCCAACAGGTGAAGAGGGAGAGGAGAAGAGACTGGCTCAAAATAGAAGTTCAATAAACCTGTCCCCAGGTCTTAGATTACAACCTGGGATTGGCCTCCAAAGTGCTCTTCTACCCAAAGCATAGAGATGGAATAAACACCATTAGACAAAGAGGTACTGTCTGGGGGACGAGGTGGTGAGGAGGCAGGAAGGATTCTGAAGGTTTGATGGAGAGGGATGGAGAGCAGGAGATCTGCTCACAGAGACAAGAATGTCAGAGAGAGGAAGTGATAGGGAGAAGCAGCAGCACACACCCAGGCCTTGAGGCCAGTGCTGGTTGCCTCTGTGGGTGATTGACAGTTTTGTAACATCCTCCAGGCCTCCTGCTCCTCTTGGGGTCAGCAAACTTGGATACAGCCCCATTGGCTCCTGCAGGCAAGCATCAGCCTGACCACCGAAGGTCACAGGT